GGCAGAGATCCTGTGTCATTGTAAGGACTTTGGCTTTTACACTGTGAATTAACTACAAGACTTCTTCTTTTCAAAGAAGAAATTGGGAGGGATTTCTCTCTCTCTCTCTCTCTCTCTCTCTCTCTCTCTCTCTCTCTCTCTCTCTCTTCTCTCTCTCTCTCTCTCTCTCTCTCTCTCTCTCTCTCTCTCTCTCTCTCTCTCTCTCTCTCTCTCTCTCTCTCTCTCTCTTCTCTCTCTCTCTCTCTCTCTCTCTCTCTCTCTCTCTCTCTCTCTCTCTCTCTCTCCTTTCCTCTCTCTCTAAAATCAATAAATATGAAAAAAAAATTAAACTTATTTTGTTCTACCTTAGGTTGTTAGAGGCCAAACAGTTGACTTATCACATTATTTTTACAAAACAAGGATCAACTTACTTGTCTATAAATTGAACTATAAGGGATGGATTTGGATTTGGTACACACGGGAGAGTAGAATGTAGACTGTGCTCTATGTGAGTCATGTCTGATCCAGTCATGAGTTTAAAACATCCAGTTAAGCCTTAAGGAACTGGGAATCATGTTCTCTGAGAAAGCCACTATTCAGATAATACTTATACCTCCCAGCCAAATCACTGCTTCCTTTTGCATAGTGAGATACGCCCCTTGGGTTTCCCACTTGGTGCTCATGACACCCTTTCTCAGATGAGAAGACTCAGGCTCAGATGATCAAATGCCTTATCCAATGTCTCAGAGCTAAGGACTAATAGCTAAACATTTTGATGACTTCTTCCAGCCTGCCATGATCTCTTTATATATCATGTATGCAAAAACACACATATCCAAATATAAACATACACATGTAATACAATTTATGCATGGAAGTTGTAATAAGTTGTAGAACAATTGCCCTGCCTTTGTACTTTTGGAAGGCATCTATGCTCACCACTATACCACCAATGCTGCCTTTGTACTTTTGTATTCTACCATATGTGCTTCTTCGCTTCAGCTCCACTCTTCTTTTAAAAGAAAAATTATTTTTTATGAAAGGCACTTATGACATCAATGTCATTTTCAAAACAAAAAAATAACCCCATAAATAAGAGCATATCAGAACGAGGCACAGCAGTGTACATGTATATAAGCTAATGCATTTGCGGCCTTCACTCCTAATGCATTATTGATTGTGTGAGTAATCCCCAGCTTAGAGGGCTTGGAAATAGAGTCAGCCGTGGGAAGAACTCTCTGTTTCCTGCACTTCCCTTCTGCATGTTTTCAAGGGTCTGCACGGGGCTCTACAGCAGTGGAGCCTGTAATCTGACCTTCATGTATCGATACCAAGGGCCACATTATTCCAAGGGATTGAACTTGACCCAATTTCCAGCAACTTCATTTATTTTCTTCTTGTCACAGTAGTATATGAGACTAGTTTAAATAAGGTACTAATGGTACTGAAAATTCTACAATAGAAACTATCTTATCCTATAACCCAGACCAGTGGTCGGCAAACTCATTAGTCAACAGAGTCAAATATCAACAGTACAACAATTGAAATTTCTTTTCAGAGCCACATTTTTTAAACTTAAACTTCTCCTAAAACCACTTCTTCAAAATAGACTCGCCCAGGCCATGGTATTTTGTGGAAGAGCCACACTCAAGGGGCCAAAGAGCCGCATGTGGCTCGTGAGCTGCAGTTTGCTGACCACGGACCCAGACTAACTTCCAATGAGCAACCACTGTCAACCTCCTTGGGTTTTTTTTCTAACATTTATTTCAATATTTCTAAATGCTGTGCTTCTACTACTATTTTTAAAATATATTTTTATTGACTTCAGAGAGGAAAGGATGAGAGAAAGACACATCAACAATGAGAGGGAATCATTGATCGGCTGCCTCCTGCACACCCCCTACTGGGGATTGAACCCACAACGCAGGCATGTGCCCTTTCCTGGAATCAAACAAGGGACCCTTCGATCCACAGGCTGAAACTCTATACACAGCCAAACCATCTAGGGCTCTACTACTATTTATCGATTAACCAACTACTTATTGGTTTTCTGCAATAGATGAGAATTCAGCTCTCACCCCTCCAACACCTTTTCCCTTGTTTCCCTTGACTCTATTTCCAAGCCCTCTACTTCCTCACTCTCACCTTCCCAAAACAGTCTTGGCTCCCTTGCTCTCATCTTCCCAAGTAGTTTTATGACAATTTTGTGTTTACTAGATAGTCAGTTTATACACTATCACAGTTTATTCTCTGTGTCGGATATTCTGTTGTGTACAGGATGTGCAATTTCCTCTTCCTTGACTCATTCCCTCATCTTTCTAAGGCACATCCTTCATTAGATTTCTGAGAAATGGTAAATAGAAAGTTAATATTTTTGTATCCCTGAAGATCTGATAGGTGTTTACTCTGCTTTCATAATTGTTGGTAATTGGACTGGATATAAAATTCTACGTTGAAAATTATTTTCTCTCAGAATTTTGAAATTCCACAGATTTTGAAGGCCCATGGTCTTCTATTTTTCAAATTGCTATTGGAAAATCCAATCTTCCTCTGTTCTGTTAAATTTTTTGCCAGTCCTCCGATCTCTGTCTTCTAAATATATGTTTAACACTCTGCTATTTTTGCTACTCTTCCCAGAACCTTGTTATTTGTGATTTATACAATTTTTAATTGTGGGCTGTGATTTTAATGGATTTTTGGTAAGAATAAGAGTTGAAAACTATGTGGCCAGTCTATCATGTTTACTCAGTGTCCAATAAACATGCTTTGTGTTTCCAAATATTTCAACCCATACAATCCCCTTTGCTTATATTTTGACACTATAAATATTAGAAACCCTGAGAGTAGTTAATACTATTACCATTTTTATGAAGAGACAGCTGAGGTTCTAGGAATGTTAGTAGTTTTCTTTAAGTTTAAAGAGCCAGCATAAGACAGATTTGAATTAAAAATCATGTTTTTCTCACTCTATTGAGGCATCAGAGTTACGTTCAGTGATGTCTTTGTGATGATGGTAACTATTAATAGCACATGTTAGACCATAGATTTCCTATATCTTGCTTCAAATGTGAGTTATTCTTTTGAACTATTCTCTGAGCCACAGCATACAAGCTTTCCTCTTCAATCATTCTTGTTATTCCAGAGTAGAAATTCGAATACCTAAAACCAAAAAATTGCTGATGGTTTGATTTGTACAAAACAGATTGTGTTAGAACAGACAAGGAAAACTGAAATTATGGTGTTCAAGTCTGAAGAAAAACATTCTTTAATATATAATGGTGCTATTTCAGAGTCCAGCACACAATGAAATAACTCTCTTCTTTGATGCTTTTACTTACATTTTCACAAAGGGCACAAATAGCTTTCCCTAATTCAAAAACAAAAAATAAGTGATTTCTTTCGAAGTCCGGTCTTTTGAAGGCATTGCAGTCTTTCAGCTAAGTTGTTCTCCAAAGTGGAAAAAAGACTTTCCAACTACTGTTTATGAACAAGCACACGTAGACAGTAATTTAAGATGTGTTTACACATCGCTTTGACTTTCTGTGGTTATAACAGCAGACATGTTTTGTGTTAAATGAGTCCCTGTGAAAGGATTTTTCAGGTATTACCTTGTGAAGGGTTTCCAGATACTTTCCCAATGAAAAATTCACCCATTGGTTTTTTTTCCACTGAATGTCAGATTTTATTACCTTATTATCACTAAGTACATCTTCCTGTAGGTTAAGCAACCCAAATAAAAGGAGAAAATATTTGGGTCAAGCAATTAAAGAGTGAAATCAGGCAAACCCTTTCTGACCTGAGGCAAATCATTCCACTGCTTAGACACCCAGGCTGCATATCTGCAAAATAATCTCATACCGCCCGGCCAGCAAGGCTTAACAGTTGAGCGTTAAACTATGAACCAGAAGGTCACAGTTCAATTCCCAGTCAGGATACATGCCAAAGTTGCTGGCTCAATCCCCAGTGTGGGGCATGTAGGAGGCAGCTACTCAGTGGCTCTCTCTCATCATTAATGTTTCTATCTCTTTCCTTTCCTCTCTGAAATCAAGAAAATGTATATTTTAAAAGTAATCTGATACATATAAATGATCTTCAAGTCCTCTTTCAGCTCTTGAATGTCATCTCTAAGCCATCAATGAATCAACTTCAATTCATTATCTAAATCAGGCACCATTGTTTTAATACATATGTGACTATGGAAGGATTTGTTTGATAATTTATGTAATACATTGACCATCATACTCAGAACTGGTTATACAGTGACAAACTTAGCCTCATTGCATTCATAGTCCAGAGGAAAAGGCAGACAGAAACAAACTCTCAAATAAATAAATGTGATTTTAGAAATACTGTGACAGAGTGCTGTGAAAAAAGAATAATAGGGAAAAGATCATTTAGACAATGGAAGGGGAATGTTTCCAAGAAAGCCTCATTGAAAAAATAACAAGTGATTTGAAGGATGAGGAGTAACAAGACAAGTGAAGAGTGATAGAATCAGCATTCCAGGCTTATGGGGCAACATGTGCAAAGACCCCGAGGCATTAAAGAGCTGGTGCTCTCAAGGAACCTGAAGAGGATCATGTGGTTAGAACATAGTGAACAAGAAGGGGTTGGCCTGAGATAAAGTTAGAAGTGAGTTCCCACCAAATCATTCAGGACTCACACTACTCAGCAGCACATACAGAAGAGCAGGAACAGATACCCTATATAAAGAGCAAAGAAAGGGGAATTTTCTGGCTTGAATTGAGAGAACAATGAAAGTGGAAGCAGCTAGGATGTTCCAGAGTAATGAATAAAAAAGTGGGGGGAGGGGAGTAACCAAAGCAGACACCTTAGATAGAAAGTGGGGGAGAAGGTAAAAGAATCTACCACAATTGTTTGCCCTTTTTGAAAGGTTCATGCAAAAGTCATAAAAAAGAATTCCCTGGGTTATGGAAGTAATCACTTTCCCAGGGATTTCATACTAGTCTCCAGCAAAAGGCAGGTTGTATCCTAACCAAAGCCCACTGTATGTCTGACAGGAACAAATGCTAAGCATGGATTACGCTGCAAAGCCTGTAAGATGAGCATCCACCACAAGTGCATGGATGGCCTAGCACCCCAGCGGTGCATGGGCAAGCTGGTAAGGGCCTGCCCCTGAGATCACTCCATTCTAACTCCTCTCTGCAGCACCTGTGAGAACTGGACACCAGGAAGGCAGCCCTAGAAACCCTGGTCTGCCAACTTGGCTTCCTGGTTGGCAAAGTGACAGAGCAGAGAAGGAGCAATGTCAGCCCAAGGGGTGAATGCTCCACATAGTGACTAATTTGTCCTAGCTTTAGCACTGGAAGTCCCACATCCTAGAACTCTCCAGGTTTATAAAGTGAACATTAGGAACCAAATCCCAGCTCCAGGAAAACTAGGGTGGCTGGTCATTCTAGTACTTAATTGGCTGACAGCTCAGTGGGAGTCATAAATAGGATAGAGATTAACCACCCTCCCAAAAGCAGAGAGAGCAATAAAAACGTATAGCACTTTAATAGACTCGTGGAAGCCCAACCAAGGGAGGTTGGGTAACCCTGGCCCATTCTAGACTGATCATACCATCTCAAGAGTGTGGGCTTCATTCAGCACTGGTGCACACACATCACTAAAAGGCAACCCAGAAATTTCAAAATCAGGATGGCCAAAGAATTGTAGAAGGAACCAAGAATGTCTACCCTGGAGATACTTAGGGCATGATAGCTATCATCAAAAAATATTTATAATAAGACATATCACACAGAAGAGGGATTCTATTGTCCTTGATGGCTCCAGGGGAAAAATACCTAGGATCGTTATGTACCAAGTCTTAACAGTCAGAGATGAAGTCACTAAAGACCTGCCTCCAGGGTTAGTGAGAGCTCCCCATCCATTCTCCATTACTGGCAATGTCCAAACAAAAGAACTTTGTTTGTTCCTCTGCCAGGAACTTTGGAGAGGACCGTGGAATTCTAGTAGAGGCTGGGCCACTACATTTTCTTTTAGTACTGGAATTGAAAGTCAAGGTTCTCAGAGAGTTCATCAACTTACTCTGATTGACAATTCCCTCTTCTTTAAAACCCTACCTCCTCCTCCATAGGCTATTTCCACAAGTCAAGGCAAAGACCATGGATGAGAAGTCAGAAAACAGAATGGAATCTAGAACACAAAGCAAATGGTTCTTGGTAGAGCTCATCAGACAGACAAAGGCCTTTAAGCTAACCCCTGATGTCTGCTTTTCATTCCGAGACTGATTTTTAACCAACCACAATAATGAGCTGTAAATCAGCCATGATAATGAGCTGTAGTGAAACAAAGATATAATGGTCCGTTGTAACCTGGGAGATAATGAGGATCCCAGACACAAGGGAGACTTCAGTGGGCCTCAGAGAGGGAAGAAGCAGGACAGGAAAGGACAGGGCTGAGGCTCGCTTTCTGGATGGAGCGTGGCTTGCTTATTGCCACCCTCCAAGGGTATACGATAGCACAAGTCAACATTTTGAAGGGAGAGAAGGAGGTGCCCCTAGAAAAATCAACTGGTTTGATTTTTAGAGTTCTTATGTGGTTCTCTTCCTCTCATCAGTGACAGTAAGACCTTCTCTTTCTCATTCTCTCCCCAGCCAAAGGGGTTTCGGCGTTACTACAGCTCCCCCTTGCTCATTCATGAACAATTTGGATGCATTAAAGAAGTTATGCCCATTGGTGAGTTGGGACATTGATGGGCTGAGCTGGGTTTTGAGCAACAACATCAGCATTGATGGCTGCTGTTCTCCCAGGACAGCAAAACCCATGGGGTGTGTTTGTGTGTTTGTTTGGTGGCTGATTGGGTTATGATTGTCTGTGTATTTTGCTGGAAGGGAAAGATAAGGTGGGCTCAGTTCTGCAGGAATATGCATCATCTCCTTAATGGAGCTCAAACAACACTCAAATCCCAAAGGCTGCTGATATGCTACCCCACCCATCAGCAGCATGATGGAGTGGAAAGAGCATGAGGTATGGCAGTCCACAGACCTGGTTCAAATCCCAGCTTCCCCGCTGACCAACGTGTGTCTGCACAAGCTACCCAACCTGTCAAACTCTATAAAATGAGAACAGTAATGGCTGTGTATGTGGGTGTTTTTTTATCATTGTTATAAAAAATAAATATAAATTATAGACCAATGCCAGAAAGGAACTCAGTGAATATCAACTATTCTTCAATTGAGACCCAAAAAAATGTCTTATATTTATAGACATTTAATTTACTCTTTAACAATATCATTCAGTGTACTTCTATTTTTCTCTCCCTAACAAAACCCTACATGTATGTTTGTCTTTCGAGGAGCAGAGGGACAAGTTGTAAACTAAACATTTATACACTGAAATGTTTTTGCATTACAATTCATGAAGCCTGGGAATGTCCCAATTCTTTCAAAAACACTTGCTTCCTCCTGCAAACTTCGGGTCTCAAAAGGCTTCAAACTTGGGAAAGCCTCATTGGCACTCCAGGAAGTAAAGCTGATCTTTGGAAAGAACCTTGAAATTGGAGTCTGGGGGGTGGGAAAAAAAGAGGAAAATCAATCCATCAGGAAGCACTTGGGAGCAGAGGGTGCCAGGTGTAGTGGGGGTCCCTAGCAAATGGGCACATGTCATGGGGGACACACATGTGAGGAAAGCTTGACCACAAAGCCCCATTTTCCAGGGGGCAGTGGGTCTGCTGCTCAGACCCCGCTTCTTTGGTGCATGATAGGCGATGCCTGATGCGGCCCAGGGTATGTGAACGGTGATTGGCTGCATTCCTGACAGTGAGTTGAAGAAACCTTTCTTTCTCTCCCGTGGCAGCCTGTGGCAATAAGGTGGACCCAGTCTACGAGGCCCTCCGCTTCGGCACCTCCCTGGCTCAGAGGACCAAGAAGAGCAGCTCTGGCAGTGGCTCGGACTCCCCTCACAGAACCTCTGTAATTGTCCTCTGGGTGCCCTTGGGCAGGGTGGCGCTCAGGCACTGCGGTCTGTGGGTTCCACCTAATGCATCATGAGGACGGGGCTGTTGTCAGTCAGGCAGCCTCCAAATGGAAACCCAAGGGCTTTGGGCCACTAAAGGTTCATTTTCTGTTGCCAATACTCAGGAATCATTGAACTTTTCCCCTCAAAGACCTTGCTTTCGGCTTCATGTTTCTTGACTTTCACTTCTGAATACTCCGTCTTCCCCCACTCACACACAATGTTAGATAACATGTGAACAACACAGAAAGGTTTGACTCAATCCATGGGCGGAAGCAGGGGGTCCCACCTGTGCCCATTTCTCCCTCCATCTCTATCCCAGTACAACAATACAGCCATTTCTCACATTTCCTCAATCCTTTCTCACTAAGGCGGTGGTTCTCAACCTTTCTAATGCCTCGACCCTTTAAGACAGTTCCTCACGTTGTGGTGACCCCCCAACCATAAAATTACTTTCGTTGCTACTTCATAACTGTAATTTTGCTACTGTTAATCGGAATGTAAATATCTGTGTTTTCCGATGGTCTTAGGCTCTACAACCGCTAGCAGGATCTCCTAAGACCACCAGAAAACACAGATATTTACATTACGATTCGTTAACTACCAAAATTACAGTTATGAAGTAGCAATGGAAATAATGTTATGGTTGGGGGTCATCACAACATGAGGAGCTGTATTAAAGGATTGAGGCATTAAAAAGGTTGAGAACCACTGCATCTAAGGCAAGGTATATTCTTGAATTTTCACCAAAAAAAACACCTTCTCCAGAGGTACTTGACCTGTGACAGTGGGCTTCTAAGGGACAGTCACCCCTCCCAAGCACCTTTCCTATGTTTTACCTCACTGGAAAGGAGTGCTTTGTGCATGTCAAGACTTTTTGTGGCCACCACCCAGCAATCCAAAAGGAAAGCACAGACAGCGCTGGCTAGAGCAGGGAGACCTCTGTCCATCCGCTTTGACCTGAATCCTGAACAGGCCTTTCTCACATCCCTGGTGAGAGCCACGACATCCTCATCCCCTCAGCTCATGCATCCTCCATGCCCGCCTCAGGCTAGCCTGTGTGGAAGGCAGATGCAAAGCCGGCTGGGAAGGAAGAGCATAGAGGCTTCCCCAGAGGTGGCCTGCAGCTCCTGTGACAGGGGACAACCTCAGATACACTCCCAGCAGGCAATGGCCATTTCGACCTCCACATTCTGGGCTCAAGCTAAGCAATAGCAAGCCCATCAGAGAGACCATTTGCCCAGTTCTCTTTCATGTCTAAAATAGCCTTGTTCCTAGCAATATCTGGACCCTCCAGGGCTAGTCTTAGGAGCAAAGAGCATCGTTTTCTGAATGCCAACAAGGTGTCCATTTATCACAGTTCACTTACACTTCCTGGTACCGGTTCCATCAGTGAGGATTTCTTGGAAGTTTGCTCTGGGACAGCATTGCTCTCAGACCTGCAGGGAGACCAAGATAAATCCAAGTATGCTTAAGTATCTGTCACTCCACTCTTTCCCCGGAGCCCAACTGGCCTCATAGAAGAAAACAGAAACGATTGATTGGTACTTTAAAATGCTTTTACTTCCTTTCGGCAGGGGCAAATCACAATGCATTTCAGCCTCTTGCCATGTTTGTGGTGTTATGCCCTCAAGCTAACACATTCCCATATCGCAAAGGTGGGCCCAAAGGTTGATTTTCTCCCAGGGCTACGGAGCCATTTGCTTTACATTGTGGAGAAGGAAGTCGCTGCCTGGCTTCTTTCTAAATCGTTATGTCTCCTTTAATGGCTTTCAACTGCTCCAGCATATAAAAGGTTTGATGGCTTGGGGAAGGCCGTGCTGAAACCAAATTCAAAACACTGTCTGGGAGGTGGCTGACTAGCTTATGAAGAGCCTTCAGTTTCATAAAATTAAATTAACACAGTAGCAACTTTGGTTCAGAAATAGTGAGCCTCAGAGGAGCAGGAGCAGGTGACTGGGAGACTCCGTGACATTTCTTATTTCTGATGTGTCATAAAAGTAAGATTGGCTGAGGAAAATCTTAGAGCTAAGTTTTTGGTAATAAAAGTTAGTCTCAGGAGGCTGGTGCTAGAGTGCTCTAGAGCAGCCTGGGAGAAGCAGGAAGGGAGCTTTGCCCTCCTCTGATAAGATACACATAAAATGTTGGAAAAGTGTGACTCTCCATGAGGGCCCCTTAGGTTCTCTCTTATGGAGCTAGACAGAGAAAAGTGGGGGCGTCTGGCTCTATGAAAGGGACAATCTGAAAAAGGGACAGTGCCCAAGAGAGAGAACACACCCTATGAAGTCAGCCAGACAGACAAGACAGTGCGATTGGATTCTGAGGACAGTGGCCTGCAAATTCTACCTTCGATGTTCAGACGTGGAAATCTGTTCCGTTGGCCCAGTGGTGTGACATTGTTCATCCCATTCTCTTCCCTCTTTTCTCCAAGACTTCGGACCTGGTGGAGGTTCCTGAAGAAGTCGATGGGCCAGGAGATGGGTACGACCTACGGAAACGCAGCAACAGCGGTGAGTGAGGGAACGTGACACCTGGCCCCGGCGCAAAAGTGAATGGCGTTAGCCTGAGTCAGGGGGCAGGGAAAATCGATGTCCAGTCCCCTTGTTTCTCTGCTCACCCTGGGATGCAACCTGGGCAAGTGCTCAGCACTCTGGGGAGAAACAGGGCATTGTTGCCGGTGGATTTCCGTGATTTGACTATACAGTTCTGTCGCCTGCATTCTCATGCTTTATGGGCTTCACATAATGGGGTTTATCATTAATATAGAATCATCAGTATGAAGTAGGATTGCTCTTAACTAAGTCATCACAAGGTCATCAAGTGTCAGAGATGCAGGCCCAGAGCCTCACTACTCCACGTGTGGCCCATGGGCTGAGAGCCTGTTAGAAATGCAGAATCTCGGGCTGTTCCAGAACACCTGCAGAATCAGAACTTTTTTTTTTTAATCCTCAAGGATATTTTTCAGTTGATTGTTTAGAGAGAGTAGAAGACATAGGAAAAGACAGAGCAAAGTATCAATGTGAGAGGAACACATTGATTGGTTGACTCCTGTACATGCCCTAACCAGGGCCTGAGCCTGGGAGGAGCCTGCAACCAAGGCATGTGCCCTTGACTGGAACCAAACCGAGGAACCTTTGACCCACAGTCTGACACTCTATCCACTGAGCCAAACTGGCTAGGACCAGAACCAGAATCTATATGTGAATCTGTGATATGAATCTTGTTAAAGTTTGAGAAGCAGGATTAGAAATCATGGAACAAACCACCCTTCCCCCCTCCCTCCCAATACCCACAACACATCCTGTTATAGAAAGAAACTAAGGCACTGAGTAACACACTCAAAAGACTCAAAGTTGATTATTCGCCATCTCTTTTATGTGAAGGGGCATTTTTACCGCCTTATTCAAATAAATCTGTTAAAAGGATTTAGCAAGCAATAAACCTCTAAAGAGCTTTGGAGATCTATTAGCCATTCCTTTGATCAGCAGTAGCTTTCTTTACAATGCACCCTAGGAAGCAGGAGAGATTAATTATGCAGCAGTTGGCTTCAGAACATTTTCTTTGATTTTATTTAATCCCCTGTCCATGCAGTTTGAGAAATAACATAGAGAAAACACCCTGCTTCTGGGGTCCCAGGCTCCCCCAGTCTTCTCACCGCCATGATGAGGATGGTGCTGGATTTGTGGCTTCCAGTCACAAGCAGTTCTGCATCACATGTTTCCTTTATGTTCCAAAACATGCACACTGTACACAGATATTATTTCTGCCAAGCCAGACAGCATGTCAAATCCTAGAGCACTATTTTTAAGATATATTTTTAATGATTTCAGAGAAGAAGGGAGAGGGAGAGAGAGATACAAACATCAGTCATGAGAGAGAATCATTGATTGATTGCCTCCTGCACACCCTCTATTGGGGATCAAGCCCACAACCAGGGTAGGTGCCCTGTCCAGGAATCAAACTGTGACCTCCTGGTTCATAGCTCACTAAGCCACACCAGTCAGGCCTGGAGGAATATTTCTAAAGACACCTTAGAAGAGGATACATGCCCTAACCGGTTTGGCTCAGTGGATAGAGTGTCAGCCTGCAGACTGAAAGGTCCCAGGTTCGATTCCAGTCAAGGGCACATCCCCAGTACGGGATGTGCAGGAGGCAGCCGATTAATGTTTCTCTCTCATCAATGTTTCTAACTCTCTCTCCCTCTCCCTTCCTCTCTGTAAAAAAGAATCAATAAAATGTATTTTTTTAAAAGAAGAAGAGGGTACAATTCATGCTCATTTCTTTACTCGTAAGAGTGAAGTCTGCATTTTCTTTAGAGAAGATCTTGGGCAGGTCTGAGTGTTTCTGGTTGTTGTTTTCAGCACTACTGCTGAAATGTAGATGGGGAGCATTGTTGGTCTTCACCTTTGCTTTAACTGCCAGCGACTCTACTGGAAGCAAGGTAATGAGCAAAGTGAGAAGAAAAGACTAGGAATATTTCAGCATGAAGTGCCAAATAATGATGTTCCTGGCTGCCTTCAATAATTGCATTTCAATCTTACTAGATGTGATCATAACTTTCCTGGAAGAGAAGCAGAGAAAAAGAACACAAGCATGACAGATTCCTAGAACTATTCTTTTAAAAGGGTTAGGTGATCACATTCAATTGAGGACATTACAAAGCTGAATAGTACCTTGCGTTGCACTAAAGCAAAGAAATTCTGCCCAGGAAGAAAAATGGCAAGCTCAGGTTTGTGAAATGGATGCTCCCCTTTAGTATGCACTGGTTCTTTCTCTCAAATTTTGAGTTGTCACAAAAAAAAAAAAAAAAAGAAAGAAAAGAAAAGAAGAAGAAGCAAATCTTTTAATGGCTCTGTTGGCAGATGCCCCTGGTTCTGGTCGCCTCCAGTGGACAATTCCCAAATTACAAATGCAAATATGATGGTGTGTTTTTGCAACATATAATTAGCATCCAGATCATTTGCAATAACATGAATGGACCTGGAGAGTATTATGCTAAGTGAAATAAATCAGACACAGAAAGACAATGCCATCGTGGAATCTATAAAACACACAAAACAAAACAGAAACAAGTTCTTAGATACAGAGAACAAATTGATGGTTGCTAAGGTGAGAGGATTAACAAAATAGTAGTTATAAAAACAGTCACAAGGATATAAAGTACAGCAGAGGGAGTGTAGTCAATAATAGTGTAATAACTGTGTATGATGTCAGATGGGTGCTAGACTTTTCAGGGTGATCATTTCAAAAGTTATATAAATGTCTAATCACTGTGCTATACTCCTGAAATTATATAATATTGTATGTCAACTGTAATTGAAAAAAAATTTAATTTTAAGTTACTGTAGGCAAATATTAAGTAACAGAAAGATTATATAGCTATATGAATTAGGGGTGGACCTTAACACCCCACAAAAAAGAAGCATCACTAGAGAATAGTATCATTAAATGGTCAAGGGCACTTCACCAGAATATATAAATTCTAAACTTCCATCCATCTAATGTGTAGCCTTTAAATTACAGAAACTCAAAGAGGAATTGATAGAACTATTAGGATAATTGGCATTCCCATTCATAGTGAGGTATTTTCACACACCTTTCAATCATTGGCAAGTTGGATAGACAAAAAAATTTAGTATAGGCATAGAGGAAATGAGGACACATTTGACAATTCTAATTGACTTAAAAAGGACACTCCATCTCACAAACGGACAATTCACATTCTTTTTAAGAACACTTGGAACAATTATAAAAATTGATCACCTGGTAGGCCACAAGAAAGCTTCATAAATTAATATTATATAGAGCACATCCTTCTGACAACCAAAAAATCAATAGTCAAAAGATAAGTAGGAAAAACCTATAATTTGAGAAATTAAACTTTTTTAAAGCTCATGTATTAAAAAAAATTAAAATTGGAATATATTTAAAACTAAGTAATAGGGAAAACACTACATATCAAAACTGTGGAATGTAGCTAAAGTTGTCACTATTTACCTTTGAAACTCTTCAATTAAAAAATAAGAAATGCTAAAAAAGTAATCATCTAAGCATTATATTTAAGAAGCCAGGAAAAAAAGAAATAGAATAGAGCCCACAAAATCTTTATTCTGCAAATAAAGATTAGAGAAGAAATGATGAAATGACAAAGATAGATCATAAATCCAGTGAGTGGTTCTTAAAAACTTAAATACATAAAATTTAACAATTTTTAAGAATAGAGATATAAAATAAAAGGCAATAATAAAAAGAATTAATTCAACAGATATCAAAAAGAAAATACAAGAATCTCATGGCCAACTGCATGCCAATACATTTTAAAACTATTTTTAAATAGGTAAATACCAAGAGAAATGCCATTGAGCAAAGTCTGACTCAAAAAGGAATAGAAGTAGAAACCTTGGATTTGCTTCTAATCATGATAGAAATGGAATCAATATTTCAAATGTTTGTACTACGAAAATACCAGGCCCAGTCAACTTTGTAAGTAAATGCTACCAAACATTTAAGGAAAAGAGCGTTTCCATATTACATAAGCTCATTCTGGACAACAAAAAGTGGCAATGAGGAAGGTCAGCAGCATTGTCTAACTTAATTTATGAGACTAATAAAAATCTGACTTGAAATCAATAAGGACAGTAGGAGAAAGGAGAATCACAGGTTAGTCTCCCTCTTGAACATGGAAACAGAAACCTGAAACAAAATCTTAGTTAACTGAATCCCAATCATGTATTTTTTTTTAATATATTGATTTTGTACAGAGAGGAAGGGAGAGAGATAGAGAGTTAGAAACATCGATGAGAGAGAGTCATCAATCAGCTTCCTCTTGCACACCCCCTACTGAGGATATGCCCGCAACCAAGGTACATGCCCTTTACCAGAATTGAACCCAGGACCTTCAGTCCCCAAGCCGATGCTCTATCCATTGAGCCAAACCAGTTTCAGCCCAATCATGTATTTTTAAAAGACAATGCATAATTACTTATTCCAGGGATGCAAATTTGGGTCAATGTCAGATAAGCCAATAATGTAACTGGCTGCATTATCAACCTAAAGATAAAAAATAATCGTCTCATTAGAAAACACTGTAATGAACATGGACCTCACAGGACTGAAAAGCAAAAAAGAAAGACAGGATGTGGAAAAGGAACAGAAGAAAGTCCTTTGGGAATGTGGCAAAAATAAAGATTTATTTTGCATCTATAACACCAGAAAATATTGCTAGATGAAATAAATCATATGGAAAAGAATAAGAACCATATGAGTACACTCATATCTATACTAATAAAAGGGCAATGTGCTAATTAGACTGGGTGACCGGACATCATCTGGATGTCCGACTTCCTTCCAGACAAAGCCACAGTCGGGGGAGCCAAGGCAAAGGCAGTTAGGGGTGATCAGGCTGGCAGGGGAGGGCAGTTGAGAGTGATCAGGCCAGCAGGGGAGCAGTTAGGTGGCAATCAGGCCGGCAGGCAGGCAAGCAGTTAGGAGCTAGCAGCCCAGATTGCAAGAGGGATGTCCAACTGCTTCTGCCCTGCAGTATGGGGCCTATACTGGTAGTCGGACATCCCCCAAGAGATCCCGAATTGGAGAGGGTGCAGGCGGGGCTGAGAGCCTCCCCCCCCACCCTGTGCATGAATATCATGCACTGGGCCTCTAATGTAGGCTATATACCAGAAAGCAACAAGCTCAGAAACACAGATAACAGTATGGTGGTGACCTGAAGGGAAGTGTGTAGGGAGTGGGGAAGAGGATGAAGAAGGTTAAAAAGGTCAAATATATGGTGACAGAAGGAGACTAGACTTTGGATGGTGAATACACAGTGCAATATACAGATGATGTAATATAGAAATGTACAATTGAAACTTTTATAATGTTATTAACCCATGTTACCCCAATAAATTTAAATTTAAAAATATGCCTGCATCAGGGATATATTCTTTGAACACTTGTTCTGGATAAAATTAGCAATCAAATAATTTTAATAAAATAAATTTAAAGCAGCAAACATAAAAGTTGTATGATATATTTTTGGTAAATAGACTTGATACTGAAAGGAATGGGTTTTATTTATTTATTTATTTTTTATCCTCACTCAAGGATATTTTTCCCAGTGATTTTTTAGAGAGAGTAGAAGGAAGGCAGGAGCGGGGAGAGAGAGAGAAAAACATAGATGTGAGATTTATTGGTTTGTTGCCTCCTGTACGTGCCCTGACAGTGCCCTTACCAGGGCCAGAGCCTACAATTAAGGTACATGCCCTTGACCAGAAATCAAACACGAGACCCCTGGTTCCACAGGACAATGCTCTAACCACTGAGTTAAATTGGCCAGAGCAAGGAATTCGTTTTAAAAATCATTTTGGTACTGTTAAGTTCTGCTTGCAACAAGATAACTAAAAACACATTTGGGGTCACTTCAAATGATTTCTAATGTAGTTCACAAAAATGATACACATTTCCAACCAGCTACTTAAGGGATACTCAATAAAAGGCTAAAATAATGTGGAATTACAAAATTGTAAATGCCATCAAACTGTTCATTGCATAGGCCCCGTATGTATTAATACTTCCCCGTGTTAGCTCCAATCAAGAATTATCTGGGAAGATTCTCTTTGTGTGTTTTCATTCAAGAATTGAATATTCTTTTAGAAGTTTCCCGTTTCCTTCTTAGGGAATCAAATATCTACACCAGGAATTTAGGCAATCACATCCTATCAACTGGCCTCTGCTCATTTTCAACTGTTGAGTGGCCAAATATTGAGGCAGACAAGGCCCATGAGTTTGAGCCTTCCTTTCCCACTTACCGACAAATGCCAGCTCCTCCCTAGGGATGATGGGACCGCATCCTCAGGCTCTGGAACGATGCATTGGAGAAGAGATGTTTACTAAGGATCGGCGCATGTACAGGGGCTCTTGTCCTGACGCGAGTTTGCTACACCAGTTACCGAGTCCCTCTGAAGGACAGGGGGATGCACGGACTGAAGCAGGGGCCGAGTTCTCTGTGGTGTGTATCTCTTCCTCCCCTGAGATGGCCTCAGGATGTGAAGGTGATCAAAGGGGAGAATAAAGCAGCCATGTGTTACGTTTCAATGTGGGCTCTTCTCGGTGGTGGGTTAAGTTAGACACCGTAACTGTATTCTATAAACTTGGACACGTTCGCCACATTTGTGTTTAAGGAGGAGACACGCAATGAGGATAAGGCCGTGCCGTTGGTCACCAGGGTAGACTCGGCTCATGGAACGGGCCATGGCAGAGCCCTCACAGCTCCCAGGGCCCTCCCACGGCTGTGCAGTGGGCAGCGGACACTCCTGCCCTTGTGCGGAGCCTTGTTCTCATCAAAGGCCACAACGTGGCTGCTTAAGCGTGAAAGGAAGAGAACTCTGCATTCCAAGAACAAACCAAATGAGACACCACCCTTTTATTCTTTAATCCGAATAATTGCCTCGGTGCATTGACAATAAGAGATCAAGGAACTATTTTGAAATGTAAAACACTTTAGTCTGAAAAATAGAATATAGATATCATTCACAAACCAGAAACAAGCTATTGACAATAGATCAGAAAACCCCGGTATTTAAAAAAGACAATTTGGATTGAATTAAACCGGGCCCTACCGTCACCCTCCATCCCCTAACAAGTGAGTTGATACATGTAACAGAGACGCAGGGTGCACTTTCTGTTCTTGGGAAGAGCACTGCCCAGGGAGACCCAGTTGTAAACACGCAACTGCCAGGAAAGTGGAAAGGTGTGCCAGCTGGAGGCATGTGCTAGGGTGTGAGTGTGCAGAGCAGGCGGTGCCCAGCCCGCCCAGGGAGGCAGGGCGGTATCCCACAGGCAACGGGCAAGCTGGGCCCCAAGAACAAGGAAAAGGCAGCAGTGACATAGGTAAGAAACCAGTTTCCAATCATGTTTCCAAAACACGGTGCCCGGATCCATAAAGCTCCACTTTCTCTTGTCTCCGCAGTGTTTACGTACCCAGAAAACGGCACGGACGACTTCAGAGACCAAGCGAAGAACATAAACCACCAGGTATGTATGAACGTCACCAAGGCAGTTTCTGTTTCCGCATATATGATACAAACAAGTAAATACAAACTCTACAGTGTGTAAATTATACAATTGCTTAATATAGTGGTTGTATTTTATAGTACATAAGTATCTATTTATTTTATTTTCATATTCATTTGTATAGAATTAGCATAGAACCCATAGAATAGAATAAATCGACAGAATCAATAGAATAAAATAAAAGGTATTTGAGCTTCAGATAGCAGAGTGAATCAAATAAAAAGGCTATAGCTGTGCACAACTTTTGTTTTTTTTTATAGATAGCATATATTTATTATATAATGTATTTAAATATAGTATAGAGTTATATATTATATAGTACATATGGTGTATATACATATGTGTATATATTATACAGTTATGTTATATATCGATATTATATTGTGTAATTTTTAATTTATTATATGTATTATAAAGTATAAGCATTTATATAGCATTCATATTTAATTGGTTAATAATAGTAGCTAATATTTATATAGCACAATACTCTTTATAGTCTACAAATTGGGGCTATCAATAAAATCTACCTCACAGGACTGTTGTGAGGATCCAGTATGCTAATGCATGTAGCCAAACTACCTGGCACACAACACGCTATCAAAACAGTAGTTCTTATTATCATTACTAGAAGCCCGATGCATGAAGATTCATGCAAGCATGGGCCTTTCTTTTCCTGGCTGCCAGCACCACCTTTCAACTCCAGCCCCAGAACCGCCTCTTTCTGCTCTGGCCCCACCTTCCCATGCTGCCCAGAGGCCCTGAGCACCTCGGGCAGTGCAGAATGCCTGAGTCTCACCCCACTCCCAGCCACTTGGTGCCTGTAGATGCAAATTAACCTGCCATATTTGTTGTGTTAATTTGCATACTCACTCCTGATTGGCTGGTGGGTGTCATGAAGGTATGGTCAATTTGCAACTTTCTCTTTTATTAGTGTAGATTGCAAGGCTTTCCAGCCAGTAAGATGGTGATCCCGTGACATAACCAAAAACTGTCTAATGGCAAAATCTGTGCTTTCTTCACAGACTGAATGAACTAATTGCATATATATATATATATATATATATATATATATATATATATATATATATATATATATATATATACCTGGTCCCCTTGGATACTTGAGAGACCAAATTGTAGGTTTACTGAAAAGAAGTCAATTTTATGGATCACTTCATAAATTATATAAATGTCTAACTACTATGCTGTATACCTGAAACTAATATAATATTGAATATTAACTGTGATTGAAAAATATATTTTTTTAAACTGAATTTTAGGAAGTGAAAGTTTTTTATTCCCTCTTTCTATAGAGAGAATATTCTTGTTCCTATGGCCAATCCTGTATCACTTTTCATGAACAACTATATAAAAGATATTACTTAAAGAAAATTGTAGTATTTCTCTTTTTTTTAAAAAACCTTTTTTATTAATTTTTAGAAAGAGCCAAAACTGGTTTGGCTCAGTGGATAGAGCGTTGACCTGTGGACTAAAAGGTCCCAGGTTTGATTCCGGTCAAGGGCACGTACCTTGGTTGCAGGCATATCCCCTGTGGGAGGTGTGCAGGAGGCAGCTGACCAATGTTTCTCTCTTATCGATGTTTCTAACTCTCTATTCCTCTCAATTCCTCTCTGTAAAAAATCAATAAAATATATTTTTTTAAATAATAATAATTTTTAGAGAGAAATAGAGGAAGAGGGAGAGAGAGATACAAATATCGATGAGAGAGATACATCATGGATCAGCTGCGACCTGCATACCCCCTCCTGGGGATTGAGCCTACAACCCAAACGTGCCCAGAGTGGGAATTGAACCAGTGACCTCTTAGTTCAACCACTTAGTCTCACCAGCCGGGAAAAAAATATAGTATTTCTGACAAAGACCTCCACATAATTGTTTTCAAATGGCTTGCAATAAAATCTCAGATGAGAAATTAAAAAATAAACCAATGTTTGAAACAGTCTTTAATAAAGGCTAGCTATTTTAACATGGAAGGGCCATACATTGAATTACTTATCATTCACTTCACCATTTCCTTTTTTTTCCCCTTGCTTCTCTCCATTTCTTCCTCCTTCCTTTTCTGATTTGTCTTCATTTCCTCTTTCAGGGACCTCTTTCCAAAGACCCATTACAGATGAACACCTATGTTGCCTTGTACAAATTTGTACCACAGGAGAATGAAGATTTGGAAATGAGGTAAAAGCATTTTTTTTACAGAAAAGAAAAAAGCCAGAATGAAAGAAAGAATAAATAATTCCATTTGTGTTACCTCCGGGAGATTTAGAACAATTCTCAAACTTTAGTGTGCATGCCACCACCTGCAGGGCTGGTTCCAGTGGATTGTTGGGCCAGTGGCAGCTTCTGATTCAGCAGGTTGGGGGCAGGGCTTGCAAATTTGTATTTCTAATTGGTCCACTGGTGACTTGATTAAGCTGCTGCTGACCCAGGGCCACACCTCAAGAAGCATGGTTTTAGCACCTTGCTAACAGAACTGCTAATGGGAGTTTTCATGAAAATTGTGCATCAGGTGCACTTGGCGTCCTGTAGAGTTCCCAAGGAATCAAAACATGGTGTTTCACCCCCAAATTAGCATTGATTGAAGAATCACACTAAAACCATTTGTTTCTCCTGCTGGAGACTGGCACCTTGGCCTGGCTCACAGGATCCATCCCACTTTGGTAACTAACACTTGGGGATGGTCAGGTGAGCTTTGGAAATCTTTCCCAGATTTTGTTCCTTCGTGTTGCAATGTGGAGTCAGTCCTCTGCTCACATCAGTTTATTATGTGACCTGACGCTCTTTGTAAACATCTTAGACATAAAAGACTAAGAATGACCTCTTCCCCCTACCATACCTATAAGGGTGAAGTGAGTCGTGCATATGGCATATAGCGTGGCGCCAGATCATTGTGGACACTGAGTAACTGCTAGTTATTCCAATTTGTATAACGTGGTGTGTTCACTGGCCTGTCCCCAAGGAAAGGCTTTGCCCCCCTCCTCCATTCATCTGGAGAGAAGGCTTTGGTGTTCCCCAATCCCAGAGCAAGGGAGATAGGGCTGCTTTTTTCGTCCAATGGACCCTTGCACGTTGGTTCTTTCCAAGTCCGAAGAGAATGGAGAGATGTTGACACTAAAAACTACTGAAATGTAATTCTTAGTGAAATCGACTCCATTTGGGGTGGACTTCCCTTGCCTGAATGCCATGCAGGCCAAGTCACAGTCATGTCATTCCCCTCAGATGGTGTCCACAGGGTTCTGTGCCTCCGCCCAGGGCTATGTGTGCTTCTCTTATCCTTGGCTTGAGTCATGTCCCAGGAATAGTCCATGTGCCCTTGCCTGAATGTGTTTTCCCACTTCAGTGGGAATCAGTCGCTCCTCTTCCTCTTTCCCAAAGCTCCTCCAAAGGACAGAGCTGCCAAAAAGGCTCCAGTTAGATCCTGTCTCCCTGATTCCATAGGCCATTGGGTCAACTCCAGCAGCATTCAGCAAGACTCCACAGCAGATGGGAGTATCCAGCCGGAGTCTGGTACCTCCTGGCTCACCCTGAGGGCAGCTGTGGTCAGTCTCCTCCCTGGTCTGCTCCCAGTCATTCTTGGGCCTTTGCAGAGCACAGTTCAGGGCCTGGATCTTGGCTCCTTAGATTCCTGCAGACATTTAGGCACTGTTTTCTCCACCATTTGGGGAGGATTTGCCACACTGAAGCCACCAGCTGGAGTTGTGAACACTACCTGAACTGTCTGGCATCAGTGCAGGAGGAGAGATGGCATTTGTCCTATTCTAGTGGGAACATTAGAGGTTAGAGACCCTCTAGGATTTGTCACTGGAGTGGTACCTACCCTTCAGCGATTGGTCCACAATGAACTACCTGCTGATGAAGACAAGGATGACATGTGTTTACTTTGCAATAAATACAATATATTTTGTTCTTCTTGAGATTGTCGTTTTGGGTATCTAAAATTTTAAATTTAACAGCTTCTTACTGTGTCGGTTCCACTGGTTTATATTAGAAAATTATCTGAACCCATCAGATAAAAAAAAAAAATCCTGATAAATATAGAATGTTACTGAGGAATGTCATCTAGCTTCCCGGTGGTGGTCAGGCAGATGCTGATGTGACATGCCATAACTTTCCGTGCTTATTTTAGTGGGTTGCAGGCCTTTAACAGCCAGATTGTCTGGTTACGAATCAAACGTTTACAGACCTCTGCAAGGCACACAGGACTGTTCATTCCCAGGAGGGAAATGTCTGCATGACACTGACTATAAGAATGGAGTGATAAATCCGACTTACATTTTTCTTCTTTTGCCAAGAGACTCTAGGTTTCCATTTTAAAAGCCAGGCGCTTGATTTAGAATGGGTAAGGCTATACTTTGGGAATTTCGTGTAATTCCGTGAATGAACTGGAGCTTTGTGAATTATCGTTTTCTCCTTAAGCCATAAAGTAGAAAAACAAATTCTGTTTAACAAAATAACCATTCTCATTCGCCTGCATTCTGATTCAGGGGGCATGCTGGGTATTGTCCTCGGGAAAGAGAATAAAAGAAGCGAGAGTACAGGGAACATCAGGAGTGTGAGCTTGACGGCAAAGAAGGTCCAACAGTCATAGATCACTTCCACACGCATTTGTCATATGCCTACTCAATAGTAAGGAAAGCCTTTTCTGCCAACAGCTAGCAGTCCAGATCTCCCTACCGACTTCCAGTTGCATATCCTTTCTTGCTGACCCTGGAGCTCCTCCCTCCTTACCCTACTCTCACAAACCTTAGGGTAATTGACATCACCATCTGCCCAGGTTTCCAGCCACTAGAGACCTCTCTCTTTCCCTGCATTCAGTTGAGTAAACTGTTTCTTCTCTGTTCTCTCCTTCCTAGAGTGACTGAGTAGTTAATGAGACAATTTCAAATAAAAGCTAGGATTTCATTCCCAAGACAAAGCCAGGTGCACACTATAGTTTAGATGCCTTCTGTTTATAATTTGCATCTTTTTACAATAAGTTTCATTTCCTAGTTCTCTGAACAACCTCACTAACACAACACTAACACAGTCAAAGACTCTGGCTGGCCATGGAGCACATCCAGTGAAACTATCTAACTGGCCCAGTGATAAGAAGACTATGATACCCTGACCCTCATCTTCTGAGCAGGTTTTGCAGTTGCTGGTGTGACCTGTCACAGGTATGGGATTTTACCCCTGACATGAAAGAGACGATACTATCGTGTGTGAGACCTCCAGTTTGATGCTGAGGATTTGTGGTCCCCTAGCATTAACAAGCCACCCAGGTTCCTCTGAGTGGAAGGAGCTTGTGTAGTAAGTAGATAACCTTCTGTAATTCAGGGTCTTAGACAATGTCCACCAATAACCCTTATTACCAAGCTTTATAAAGGGCTGAGGAAAGAGGAAATGGCACTTTATGGACTGCCAGCCTAATTCATGAGCAAAATCCTTTAAAATGCTACTTGAAATACAAACTGGAGAACCTCATCAGTGTTGACATCATTATCATCCCACACTGTCTCGTGCTGAATCATCCACTTGGCTAGGATTTCATTCCCAGTACAAAGCAAGGTGCACACTATATTTTAGATGCCTTTTATAATGAGTGTATGTGTGTGATATACTTACCTATGAACATCCATTCCCACACACTCACAGTCAGATCTGCATGAACACACACACATTCATGTGCACACATTCATATACACACATCATGAGCACGAGCTTGATAATATATGCTTAGCTTTTTTAAAAAATTAAATCCTGCCCAGCCAATGTTGCTCAGTGGTTGAGCATCAACCTATGAACTAGGAAGTCATCATTCAATTTCTGGTCAAGGGTGCATGCCTGGGTGCAGGCCTCAATCCCCAGTGTGGGGCATGCAGGTGGCGGCCAATCAATGATTCTCTCACCATTTATGTTTCTATCTCTCTTTCCCTCTCCCTTCCTCTCTGAGATCAATAAATATAATTTTTTTAAAAAAATAAGAAAGTGTTGCCCTCCATATGTAAAGTAACTGGTCCCATTATCCTCACTGCTTTTGGGGTCAGAAGTCTGCCAACAGAGCCTTAGAGCCATTGCTTTGTTATTCGCACCAGCACACCTTTGAAAAACCAATAAGAATTACTTCTATGGCTTTGCTGAGCTGATATATCACATAAGCAATCAGCAGATGTAAATAACTCCAAGTCAACACAAACCCCTATATGTCTTAAGAACTCTGAAATAAAGGATCAAGAGTAAATAAAAGACTTAAAGATTCCAATGCATATTTCATTGGCCATATAATGCCTGTTCCATAGAACCCATTTTGGCTTCCCACATCTAAGTCATTTTCATTTTTATTAGTTCTCCCCAAACAGATTTATATGATAATGACCATGTTTCATGGGGGGGGGGGGGGGGGGGAAGGAAGGGAGTGGGGAATGAGACAGAAAGAGAGAAAAAAAAGCTTAGGAGCCAAGAGAGGGAAAGCAAGAACTGCTTTTCCAAGTTGATTAAATTCTAAGAAAGACACAAATTAATTGCCACTTCAGTGTGTCAGAACACCTAAATCGGAGCAAGAGAGGGCGCTTCAAAGAGAAACCTGTCTTCTTCTGTAACCCCAAATAAGGACTGAGAGCCTTGAATCACCAGACTCTTTCCTGGCAGCCTGGACCTCAGATTTTTCCATGGGCGTGTCTGAATGAAACCAGGCAGCTATTTGTCTCATTAGCTAATATTCATCAGAAGTTCTGGAGATGGGAGGCCTGAATTCATCTCATTCCGATTTTTCCAAAGCACCTTAAAACTGACTTTACTCCATGCGTGACTGTTTCCAGGACCTGCTTCATCTATCCTCCGCTCGTCACATCGTGAGTGAGCCTCTACCCTTACCCTCAGCTGGAGGAACGATTCACAGGCCCTGTGCTCAGAAAGCTCAAGCGGGGAAGGGCTGGGGTGGGTGGCAGAAGAGTAGATAAGACGGGGCACTTCAGTGTGGGGTCTTGTGGGTGGGGAGGCAGCCTTGGGAAATCAAGGAAGACTGCAAGGAGGTGGCATCACAGCCATGCTAGGGCTTCAGCTCGTCAGTGCGCAGTCATTCTCTCTTTACCGCAAGGAAAGGGTAAGGGAAAAATAGCTCAAATAACAGTGCAAGAGAATTACTTTAAAAGTCACCAAAGGTGGGGAGAGGAGTGTGCAAATGCAAAGTCCATTACAAA